GGGGGGTTAGTAGTAGCCGCCATAGTAATGGGGATGATAGATTTGATCGGGGTAGGGATGATTTCAGGTCGCCACCTCCCAGATCTTATGATTATGAGTCTGGGGACTTTAGGGGTGATAATGGATATGGTGGTAGCAGTTATGGTGTGCCTAGGAGAACTCGGTCTTATGGAGATATGAGTGAGATGGGCGGAGGGAGAGATGAGAAGAAAGCGTCGGCTACACCTCTGAGGGAAATGATGCCGGAGAGGATTTTTGGAAAGATGGGTCACTTGCAAAGGCTGCTTGATCGTTTCTTGTCATGTAGACCTACAGGTTTAGCGAAGAACAGCAGAATGATCTTGATTGCACTGTATCCGGTTGTGAGGGAGAGTTTTAGGCTATATGCTGATATCTGTGAGGTTTTGGCTGTTTTGCTTGATAAATTTTTCGATATGGAGTACACAGATTCTGTCAAGGCATTCGATGCTTATGCCAGTTCAGCGAAACAAATTGATGAGCTCATTCTGTTTTATAATTGGTGCAAGGACGCGGGTGTGGCGAGATCATCTGAGTACCCGGAAGTTCAGAGGATTACAGGCAAGTTATTGGAGACATTAGAAGAGTTTGTGAGAGATAGAGCTAAGAGGCTCAAGAGTCCGGAGAGGAAGGAAATAGAAGCTCCTCCTCCACCTCCTCAAGAGGAGGAGCCAGTGCCTGATATGAACGAGATCAAAGCCCTTCCTCCTCCAGAGGATTACACTCCGCCACCACCTGTTCCAGAGCCTGAACCTCAAAAACCACAAGTCACGGATGATTTAGTTAACTTGAGGGATGACAACATTTCCGCTGATGACCAAGGAAACGAGTTGGCGCTGGCCCTCTTTGGGGGTCCACCGGGCAGTGATGGTAAATGGGAAGCTTTCAATTCACATGGAGACAATAATATGACTTCGGCTTGGCAGAACCCCGCAGCTGAACCTGGGAAGGCGGATTGGGAGCTAGCCCTGGTTGAAACCGCTAGTAATCTGGAGAAACAGAAAGCTGCATTGGGTGGTGGCTTTGACCCATTGTTGCTGAATGGAATGTATGATCAAGGAATGGTTAGGCAACACATGAGCACCACACAACTGACCGGTGGCAGCACTAGCAGCGTGGCTCTACCCTTACCAGGCAAAACCAACAATCAAGTATTGGCACTCCCTGCCCCCGATGGAACCATCCAGAAAGTCAACGAAGACCCGTTCGCAGCTTCTCTTGTCATCCCACCGCCTTCATATGTGCAAATGGCGGAAATGGAGAAAAAGCAGCGCTTGTTGGTGCAGGAGCAACAACTATGGAATCAATACCAGCTCGATGGAATGAGAGGTCAGACTAGTCTGGCCAAGATCAGCACGGGTCCAGTCCCTGCCGTCATGCCTTATGGAATGCCACCGGTCTATGGAATTGGATCACAACCAACCGGGTACTACTACAACAACCCTTACTGATTCATTCATTTTGCTTGGTCTTATCTGTTTGTCACTATGTATTTGTACATGATCTATTCAGTCTCTGTTATATATATATATATATCTTCGTTTCTCCTTTGTATTTCCGATTGTGGAAGAGATACATTCTCGATTCCTCTCGAAGTTGTGAACTTTGCCCTCTTTTGAGTTTAATAGGTTATGTAGCCATTGGGAATTTTGAAGCCTCCTTGAACACTAGATTCATCATATCCTCTTTTGATATTTTACCTGCTGGCTTTGTTGCAAGTCTTTTCGTCAGGTTTGCAGCCCTAAAAACTTGTTTTTGGGGGTTTAGGGTTTTGTTGGGATGTCCAAATCAGACAGGTGATCAGCAGTTGGTATTTCTAATTGCTGTTTTTTGAAGCTATTAGTCAGGAGAAAAAAACCCTGTCAAAAGAGATATTTATCCATTTTCTTCATTAATAATTATTGTTGTACACTTTTTTTTGTTATTTGTTATTTTACAAAAACTCAGACATGGACAACGTTTTTTTTGTGAAACAATTGGTAAACCCAAAATTATACACATTCCATTTCACTGTCCAAATTATATAATTATATAACTATTATCTAATCATTTTTTTCTGGAAATTACTATAGCATCTCTTTTTTTTTAACTGGATGTTATGGATTAAGACCTACACTACACTAATCTTAGGGTTGAAAATCATTGTATGATTTAGATTATACGCCCTCTCCAAATTTTAGGTCTAAATTTGGGATGGAATATACGTTTTCCTCCTATTTTATCGGTTAAATTAACAAGGGTAATTCCAATAGCACCTCGGTGTTAAAATCTTCATACAATATAAGTCATTTCAGTAATCTAAGATTGTAATAATGAATAGAAAACTACATTAATTCTATATAAAAAGCTCTATAGTATTTTAGATCTAAAAGCTTTTTTTCTTTTGGGGAATGTTGTTGGTGTTGCATATTAAAATTGTAAATTAGGGTCAATGGGAACATAGCTAACAAAATGCGAAGCTGGCGATCTACGTAACATTGACATGGCCCTTACAAAGGGAAAAATAATTAGAATTTGTCGTTGTACCTTGAATAAAATTGTCAAAAAAAATAAGTGGAAACGAGATAAATATATAAGGAGAAATAACACATTATTACAGGAATTTGTAAGAAATCTCAAATAAATACACAAATTTTAAAATTCTCAAAATATATGAAATCTTTCTAGCGTTTATATCAAATCCTAAACTTTTTAAAAATAATGAAAATAAATCATGGATTTTTAAATTATTTCTAAAAACTGAAATTAAATCTTAAACTTTTAAATGAATCCAAATGCCAATGTGATATGTTGTTTTTTAGGTTTACAAACTATACTTTTGTATAAATTTTAGACAAAAATGTCTTTATTTGTAATTTGAAATACCTATTATGTCATTAAACTCTCTCTTTATCCACACCAAACATAGATCCATTCGACATTTATCCTAAAAATCTATCAGAAACTAAGTTATCAGGAATATACCCAAAAGTTTGAAATCATAATTCGGGAAATCATCAAAGATAATATTTTGACTACAATGTTATATTTAATGGAATATTGTTGACTCGTTTCGGCAATAGAATCTTGTACCGGACAAAGGATAATCCGCTTCCGCAGTTGGGGAAGAAAGGTTCCGGACAAAGGTGCGCTCAGGCAGATAGCGTATATCTCGTTCGTAGAAGTACGAATATACGTCTGCGTTTGCTCGGGCGGATGTATATATTCGTCTGGGATGGGTATGAAGTCCGATGGAGTACGTACTCGGTCAACCGGGAGGTGTATACTCGATCAAAATTCAAACGTATATATTCGTTTGGGACACCCATCCGGGATTACGACTCGTCCAAATGTGTGTATTCGGACGTGATTTTCAGAAGTGTCATGGAAGTGGACAACTCGTCCGAAAGAGTGGATTTAAACCACAATTCAAAATTTTAACGAATGATTGTATGAGTAGAGACGTGGTTGTATTATGTTTTCAATCGATGAAAATCCGGCACATTTGTAGTTGAAGAAGATAAATCTTGGTATTTCGTATTCTAAACTGTAGAAATTGGTATGTTAAGCTTATCGTTTACAATTTTCAAATTAAGATGTGGAGTTCACTGTTTTGTTGAGTAATTTTCAGATTAAAAAGCAGCAGAAGGGCAATTGAAGCAGCATGTGTGTATTTTGCTTTGCAGGGTTTAGTTGGTTAAACGCCACGTCAGCCCTTGTTGCTGTAAATACTATAAATAGCTACGTTTTAGGTTTTGGGTGGATGTCTTGAGAATTATCTAAGTTGTGTGTTTGGGGAAAGGGAGAGTGGAGCCTCTCGAATAGCTCTCAAAGGTTGTATTTCAGAATGCAATCTTATCAGTGTAGGCGTTGGGTGCAATGATTTAAAGCTTCAAGCGAAACCCTAGATCAATAATTGGCTCTTCGTACTATTGCTTCTTAAGTTGCTTGAAACCCAAAACTGAGCTTGAACCCTTCGGCCTTTAGCCTATCGAGTGACTAATATCAAACCAAAGCAATTGCTCTGTGCTTGCACCATTACTGTTTGTAGTGATGTAAATGAAACTCGAGGTCCGAGACCTGCCCCGAGTCCGCCCGAAAAAAAATAAGGGCTCGGCCTTAAAAGTTAAAAACTATAGGTCCGATAAGAAATCGGGATTTCGGCTGCGGGCCTAATGGATCACGGGCTGGCCGTGTCGGGCTTGAAGCCCCGCCGAATCGAGCCATCTTTTTTCACTTGCATCGCCGTTGTCTAAAGGCTGAAGTCGATCACTTTGCCGCCGTCGTCATCTCCTTTTTTAGCTTGTCGTCGCCTCCTGTTTTCACTGTTTGTTAGTCATATACACTTCCTGTTTTGTGTGTGAATAATTCATATGCCTATTCGGCTACTCTTTCAATTGTTTTGGATCCGTTCTTAGTCTATCTTTTGCTGCGTGACGTTTACACATTTTTTTACCGTCCAAGGTGTCAGGGTATTCTTGGATTTGTACGGTAATGATCTATATGCATGTATTTGATCAATTTTAACCGGATTTGATTTAAATAATATATAAATGATATTCAAACTAAATATCGTGTGATTATCAGCAGACATAAACTCGAAAAGAAATCCAATCAAACTAAATCTAATATCAAAAAACAAATCAATATAGTTTTTTCAAAACTATCATAAATCGAAATATGAAATGATCCCTAATTTGATATATCCAGACTTCCCCTAAGGAAGATCACCCAACAATATCAAATCTATTTTTACCTAAATACAGGTAGACCAGTGAAATATGACAAAATACCATAATGATATTTAAAAAAAAAAAAGATGCTTCATCAAACGACAACATAATTTAAGCATTACAACCAAACATAACACAACACCATTGATGCTTACGAAAAATGCAATGAAAGCATATATTTATGTATAAATAAGCAGCGCAATCTGTCGAAGCACGAATAAAACGCACCACCTGCACACAAACTTCATGCCCAGATTCTCTTTCGTTTCTTCTTCTCCATTTCCCGCAAGTTTGATCGATATGATTTCTTCTTTCATGAGCTCCTCAGTTTATGCAAGAATTGAGGTTCAGAGATTTCGAGGGAAAGTAACCGTACCCGCTGAGTTCAATGCTCGACTGTAACAGATTGCAATGCGACAGGAGACTCAGCTTTATCTTCTTCCATTGGAGTTTGATCATTGGATGAATCTGTTGTTGGAGCTTGGTCTTGGTCAGATGATGGAACAGCGGAAGTGTTATTGGGACAAGACGGGTCGGCCGGATCTGCATCTTTCTCGGGTTTCTTCTCTTTGGATATTGCTTTCATCGGGTTTGCGTTAGCTTTTGCTGGTTCGGCTTTTCCCTCGTTCCTCCGGTTGACAAGACTCGTCGTCTTCTGAGAAGGCAACCTCGGAAGTGACTTGCGAAATGATAGCTTCTTGGGGTCAACTGCAAGAATTTCCTTCACACCTGCCGAGTTATCTTTGGAAACTCTCTCATCTAAACTCAGCCTACCGATTCGAGGGGTTTGATCATTGGTTTCTTCAGTCTTCTTTCGCCCTAGCTTTGGAGATTTAGGTCTTGTTGGCGGTATCTTCTCACGAGTAAATAAAACTTACATGAGAAATCATAATTTTTATATCTCCGATATGAAAACAAGGGGGCAATTGAGAAGTGGTTGCAGATATACCTTCTTTAGCTCAACTTTAGGTGGCTGAGGTTCTTGGTAAAAGCTGGGCATGGGGGTTGCTTTGAAGTTCAAACTCTTCCTTAACATCTTAATCTCAGCTTCTTGTGTTTCCTGCCAAAGAAACCACGGATTTTTAACCAGAGAATCGGGCATGGAGCTCCTAATCATCATGACAGACAAGAGGCCATAGAACACAACCTTGGACTTGGCTTGCATGTCATTGTTTTCCAATTCTTTTGCATGAATCTTTTCTTCAAGCTTGGAATAGAACTGCACCACGGAACGGCAAAATATGGAAGTTGTTTAAAATGTGTATGTAGAGGACACACACGGGGAGCAGAGGAAAAACCTCTCTTCTTTTCTCGGCCCGTTGATCACATCTGAAATTGAATCCATAATTTGGAAGGGCACCAACTCTGCGAGATTTGCCATCTTCTGCTTTCGGACTTCTAAAGAGAATTAAGTTTCAAACTATTTTAATAAAAAGGGTCAAATAGGAAAAAAAAACAAAAAGGGTCAAAGCATAAAGGCCACAGCTTCACAAATTCCCACGTAAAAGAGGATAGAAACACGAAGAAAGGTGAAATGATACTTGGAAGACTCAGAATCGCCTTCAGATGTTTCATGGGATTGCTTCTTCAGAGGCTTCAGTTTGGTCTTGTCCCTGCAACAAAGAGATAAAAGAAGTATCTGTTTCAAAGAGTAGAAATAAAGAATGATATACTTGAGGTTATAAAACCAAAAACTCGGTGGTAATTATTTTGGTTTTAAGCAATGAACTTATGGGAAAGCTATAGTCTTCAAAGACCATACCGAAAGACACCAATTTTACGAAAAGAAGGTTCCCTAACCTGGTGACTTCAGTTGGCACCGCGTCATGCTTTCCATGCTGATGCGAGAATGAAGAAATCATAAAAACCAGAAATAACACAACTAGGAACAAGATCATAGCAGCCAATTCAACGGTAAGAGACAATCACCTTCGTGGCAAGAGCCTGTCTATCATTAAAGGATTTGCTCTTGAGAGACTTTGTTGTATGAGCATTTGGAGCAGCAGAACCATTTGACCCAGCCACCTTTGCATCTGCTCTTTTCTCATTGTTCTTCTTAACTGAGGCCGATGACACGTTCATTCCACCAGAGGACTTCTCACCCTTGATTTTACCTTGAGCCTTATGTTCTCTGGAATGCTTTTTATCACTCGAATTTTCAACTTGTGTTTCCTAACCATAAAGGGAAAAGCTTTCGTGTTAGTCCTGAGAGTTTTGTCTATCGAAAAAGCAATTTGGGCAGTCCTCATTACTAACCACGGATGCTTCCTTCGGGTGTTTGCTAATCACAAAGTTGGAACAACTTCCTGAGTTTTCATTCGGGTTTTCGGATGCAACATCCAAGACTTCACCAGTAGTTCCATTTAACAAATCGGAAACATCTCCCTTTTCACTGGCAGCGATAACCTCATTGGTTAGACCGCCATTTGCAAGGGCAGTCCCAACAGCAGAATCGACTACTTCAGGGTCCATGAGAAACTTCAAACAAAAACAAAGGAATTAAAACTGATATAAGTGATAGCCAAATATCTATCAACATTGTCAATGGTCAAGATTCAACAATTACTCCAATTTAATCACACTTAAAAGGAGGTATCTAAAAATAGTTAAAACAATCTATATGCAAGAATCAATGCTGTTTCCATAGAATCAATGCTGCTTCACTGCGCGTTCTACTGTTTCTCCCCAAGTGAATGATCAATCGCGGGAAATTTTCTACAAAATCTGCAAAATCTACCCACTAATTGACCCATCAACATCTATCTCCCGCATTCCTGAATCGATCAAAGGTAAACCAAAACAAAACAGATAGGAAAAATGTTGTTCCTCGTCTCTGATCAAACAAACTCAAATCTCATTCCGTGGAAGAAGCAAATCTAATTCGAAAACCCCCAAATCTCATTTCTCCAGTAGTGTGGTTGTGAGTTAAGTAGTCGAGTACAAAAAGCAAATCACATCAAATGGCCGCTCCACTTCGATCTACCGACAACCAAACCATGCAACGAAAAAAGCAGGTTAAGTACATAGTTTACTCAGATTCCAAAATTTTCCTTCATTTTCTCCCCAGGTTTCTCGGCAACCAAACAAGGAAAGAAGAAAAAACAGCACAAACGTAGCATCTCCCTCACCTAATGCAGTCCCTGAACAAATCAAACTTCCATTGAAGCAGAAATTGGAGAAGTAGACGAAGGATTTGGTTCAAAGATTTGAGATGTCGGATTTTGATTTTGATTTTTTTTTTTTTTTTTGCACCAGTATGATGCTTCTGTGATTTAAAAAAAAATTGTTAACAAAAAGCAAAATCATAAAAGGCTCTGTTTAATAAATTTATATTTATACATTATTCAATATTACAGAGGCTGTTCGAAATCCAGTGCCACGTCATCGGGATGAAGTTACGTTTCGGTGAGGTTTGTACGGTTAAGCGGTTTTATTTTAAATCGTGAGATTATGGGTGGTTAATTAATTTTAAGATGGTAAGAAATCCAAAAACTAAAAAAAAAAATGATAATTAAGGTTTTGTAAATTTGATTTTCTTTTTTAAATTCAGAAAACTAATAGGTGTTAAATGGAAAGACTTTTGAAAAATCTTATATAAGTATCCAAACTCTTTAAAATATGACATATAAATATCTGAACAATTAATTTGACAATTTAGTATCTTAACTATTATATTGTTCTAATTTATTATTCAAACTTCTAAAATTATTGGCAATTCACAAAAGATAATGAATCCGAATTTTTGTTAGTTATTTTAGAGTAAATTGGTGAATTTTAAAATCTCTCAAAAGATTCATATTTCACGTGTATTACAAGTATAGTGCAGAAGTAAAATGCTTGTAAAAGACATGCTGTGAATTGGTTAAGTGTTAAGGATTAGTCGAAAGATATTGTAGGTAGCTCGTTTTTTCCTAATGAATAAAACTGGAAAAAATGAGCTGCGACCGATCGGGAAAATAAGCGGGTAGCTCATTTTCTCTGAAGAAGAAAACTGGAAAAAATGAGCGACTGCAACAAAATTGGGAAAATGAGCGACCGCTCGGAAAAATGAGCGATCCACCTTATTTTTCTGAGCTGTTCAAAATGAACGGAAAATCGTGACCGTTCGGAAAAAACTTCCGATGTCTTTGCAATTTTTGATTTTTGGAGTGTTAAAAACATTGCTAAACGTCTGAACACAATAGAGACGAAATCTAATTGATTTTTGAGAGATTTGGGAGTCATTTTTGTGAAGAATTTTGCAAACTCTTCTCCAACTTTTCTTGTTTATTCTCATTCGCAGGTTTTTCTGTTTCAGACAACTTTTGACGAGGGAATCAATCGTTTTGCTGATCTTCTTTATATCTCTAAACGTATTCTCGGGATTCTCCTTTGCTCGGTGGGGAGGGAATAACGTTTTAGAAAAGTAGAATCACGCCTAGAAGATTATATCTGGGTTCATCTATTATTTTTGTTTTTCAATTCTTTTTTCTTTTGTATTCATTCTCGTGTATCCAAACTCATCTTATAAAACAATCTAAAATGTTATCCCTTATTTCGGATACACGGGAAAGGGGGAATCGATTGTCGATATGGTTCTTCGGTGAGAGATCTTACTCTAGATTTTCACAAACTTGAGACATTCGAGGGCGTGGCTTTCCGCCAGTGGCAAAAGAAGATAAAATTTCTTTTTACTACACTGCAAGTGGCATATGTGATCAGCACTCCACGACCGGAGGAGAACGAAGAGGAGACGCTCACTCAAGCGCGCACGAAGAACAAGTGGGACAATGACAATTATGTGTGTTGCGAACACATATTGAACGGTATGTCTGATGCTCTTTTCGATGTCTATCAAAACATTGAGACTGCAAAAGAATTGTGGTCCAAATTGGAAGAGAAATACATGTCCGAAGATGCCTCGAGTAAGAGGTTTCTTGTAAGCGAGTTTAACGCTTACAAGATTGTGGACTCAAGACCAGTTATGCAGCAATTTCATGAGCTCTAGAGGATCTTGAGTAGTTTTACTCAACATGAGTTGAAAATGGATGAAACTATTATGGTTTCTTCATTGTTGACAAATTACCCCCGTCTTGGAAGGATGTTAAACGTTCCTTGAAACATAGGAAGGATGATATGACCCTTGAGCAATTGAGGTCACATCTTCGGACAAGGCTATCTATGTAATTCGATGTTCACACATGCAATATTAATAAACCGAGTACTTCTTTGTATGTTCTCTCTTCCAATGTTTCAGATTTGTGGCATGCTAGATTAGGTCACGTTCATTTTAAACGGATGCATGTAATGTCTAAGTTAGATCTTATTCCACCATGTGAATTGGAGAATGATCATCGTTGCGTTACTTGAATGAAAACAAAAATTATGAGGTTATCATTTCCAAATGTAGAAAGAAGTTCGGATATTCTAGAACCTGTGCATAGCGATTTATGCGATTTCCATAGTACACCGTCTCTAGGAAATAAAAAATACGTAGTTACATTTATAGAGGATTCGACTAAGTTATGCTACGTTTACTTGTTGCATTCCAAAGATGAAACTTTGGATATGTTTAGGGTGTACAAAACCGAGGTTGAAACACAACTCGGGGTAAGCTCAAGAAGCTTAGAACCGATAGGGGAGGGGAGTATTATGATCCAATATACTTTGAATCAATAGGCGTGATTCATAAGACGACCGTTCCGTATACACTGCAACAAAACGGTGTAGCGAAAAGAAAGAATAGGGTGTTGAAAAAAATGGTAAACTCCATGATTTCTTTCTCGGGATTAAGCGAGGGTTTTTAGGGAGAAGCCATGTTAACGGTTTGCTACATTCTTAATCGAGTTCCCTCCAAAAAGAATAAAATAACCCCATATGAGCTATGGTATAAGTGAAAACCAAATCTGAATTATTTTCGGATTTGGGGTTGTCGGGCAATAGTTAAAGTGCCGAAACCCAAACGAAAAACATTGGGTGAACGAGGAATCGAGTGTATCTTTATAAGTTATGCTTCTCATAGCAAGGCCTATAGGTTTTATGTTATAGAACATAATGACTATATAGTCGTTCATACGGTTATAGAGTCGAGAGATGCATTATTCGATGAGAGTCGCTTTTCTTCGGTTGAAAGACAACCTCGAGCTGTACCGAGCTCAAGTGATCGAGTAGTCGATCATGATGATGGAAAACGTGAACCTCGTAGAGGTAAGCGTATAAGGAAAGAAAAAATCTTTGGTCCGGACTTTCATATGTACCTAGTAGAAGGTATTAATGAGTCGATCATGACTCAACTCGTTTATGTTTACAATATCGAGGGAGACCCTAGGACTTTTGATGAAGCGATGAGATCCCAGGATGTCACATTCTGGAAAGAAGCGATAAATGATGAGATGAACTCTATCATGAGCAACAACACTTGGATCTTAGTAGATCCTCCTCCAAGTTGTAAACCGATTGGTTGCAAGTGGATCTTCAAAAAGAAGATGAGAGTCGATGGAACTATCGATAAGTTCAAGGCTCGTCTAGTAGCTCAAGGCTTTAGACAGAAAGAAGGTATTGATTTCTTTTATACGTACGCACCGGTAGCTAGAATAACTACGATAAAATTGTTGATCGCGCTTGCAGCGATAAACAATCTTATGATCCACCAAATGGATGTCAAAACAACATTCTTGAATGGTGATCTAGAAGAGGAGGTGTATATGAAACAATTAGAAGGCTTTATCCTATCGGGACAAGCACACAAGGTGTGCAGGTTAGTCAAATCGTTGTATGGGTTGAAACAAGCACCCAAACAATGACATCAAAAGTTTGATGAGGTCGTTTTGGCTAACGGATTTCGTCTGAATCAATCAGACAAGTGTGTATATAGCAGGTTTGATGATAACGGTCATGGAGTTATCATTTGCTTATACGTGGATGACATGCTCATATTCGGTACAGAATTAGAGCAAGGCAAGAAGACCAAAAACTTCTTGTCATCGAAGTTTTCGATGAAAGACTTAGGTGAGGCTGACGTTATCCTAGGAATTAGGATAAAACGAGATCAAGATTCGATAACACTATCTCAATCACATTACGTAGAGAAAGTGTTAAAACGATTTGATATGTTTGAAAGCCCTCCGACTTCTACTCCGATGGATTGTAGCCCTAAGTTTGCACCTAATAATGGGGAACCGGTAGCTCAACTTGAGTACGCTAGTGTCATTGGTTGTTTTATGTATGCTATGACTAGCACTCGACCCGACATAGCATACGCGGTAGGAAAGTTGAGTAGATACATGAGTAATCCAAGTGTACATCATTGGAATGATGTACGGAGAGTACTTCGGTACTTGAAAAAGACAATTGATTATGGTCTACGCTACACGGGTCAACCTTCGGTGTTAGAAGGATATACCGATGCGAGTTGGAACTCTAGTGAAAAGGATTATGCCTCGGTGAGTGGATGGCTTTACCTTTTAGGTGGAGCGGCGATTTCTTGGGCTTCCAAGAAACAAACTTGTATTTTGGATTCGACCATGGCGTCGGAATTTATCGCCTTAGTGGCTGTTGGGAAAGAAGCAGAATGACTAAGGAATTTGGTATTCGAAATACCGTTATGGTCTAAACCGGTAACGCCTATTGCAATACATTGTGATAGTGTTGCGACATTGGCTAAGGCATATTGTTGGTTTAGTGCTTTATGATGTACTGTTTTGCGAGCTTTATTTAGATACATTTGACGTATTGACACTCTCTATGAGTTTATGGATGAGTGTTTGATTTATTACGTATTGTGCATACTTGATATGTTATGAAATCCATGTATTGTTATGAACAATATTAAACTCCCTAGTCATGTATCGTTGTGGGAATAATGATATACTAAGACTAGTATGATGTGTGATTGATGATCATATAGATGATCATAGGTATTGGATACGATCACGATCATAGGTATTCGTTGTAGGTATTCGTTTGTAGAACGGAATACTGGATTGACCCGCATGAGATTGTCACATGGACTAGCGTCATGACTTGAATCTCATATGGCGGTTCCATGATTGGATCCTTAGACCTGAGATATCTACGGAATCCAACATGAGGAGTTGCGTACTTTGAATACGTCAAACGTCCTGC